ATTAAGAATTCTTTCTAGGGATTGCTGCCAGCACCGAGCCAGTCCTTCAAGGAGCCTCTTGTTTCTCTGAGGATTAAGACTGTTATAGTTGGGACTGTTTTACTCATTATTGAATGGTCCGATCTCAAAAGCATTACCCATATTTTTCACTGTGATGAGTTGTTATTAGGTAAGATTCTTTCAGAGTGCAGCACAAAAATAGGAAATACAGAAGATGGAGCTTTTGCAGAAGGGAAGGCGACAAGAGGCGGAGGGCGGGCGGACTGGAGCTGGACAGTGTGGCGTGAAGGGTCAAGAGCACATAGCCTGGGGTCACGCAGCCCCAGGCCCATTTCCTGCTTCTGCCCCTGTCTCGGTCACTTTCTTATCACTGAAATCCACTACCTGATGTGCACAATTTAAAGGAGAAGTTTACCTTGGCGCACAGTTGATGGAAGTTCAGTCCTTAGGTGGCTGGCACCAAGGCAGGGCCATACAGCAGGGCAGGAACAGTCCACGGCAGGGTAGCAAGAAGCAGAGAGATGGAGGGAGGAAGGGGGAAGGACCTCCATCCGCCGGGTCACGCCCCATGATGCCTCATCTACCTGTCTCTGCCTCCCAAGGTCATGTTCAGCTATAAACTCATAAATGGACTGATCCAATGATGGGTCTCTCACACGGTGGTCCAGTCACCTCCCCAAAGCCCTGCCTATGCGTGCATGAGGCCTTGGGGGACATCTAGGTAAGAGTTGTAACAGTGCCTTACTACTTTTGATGTTGTTTGAGACAGGGTCTCACTATGTAGCTCAGGCTGGCCTTGAACTCACTGTGTAGTCCAGGCTGGCCTCAAACTCATGGCAGTCCTCCTGCCTCAGCCTCCCAAGTGCTGAGATTCCAGGTATGCACCACCAAACCCGGCCAACCTTACTGCTTTTGAGACCATAAGGAGTTGTTTGACCCATCAGAACTGTTATGGTTTTTGTCTAGGTGGCCCCCAAAAGCCTTATGTAGTCATGAAGTAGACTTCTAGAGTTTGTGACTAACTCATGATCCATTGGGATTATGGGTGTAAATGCTGGTGGATTATGAGTGTGAGTGCTGCACCCAGCCTGGGACGTATAGCCTGAATCAACATAAGGGAGACAGACTTGCTCTCCGTAGCCATTGTTGCCGCTGCTCCTCCCTTTTGTGTTTTCTGCCGCCAGGAGCTGCTGCCCTCTGCTATTTTGCCTCTGCCTTGGAGCCAGCTGACTGTGGACGGAAATCTCTGCTAACTCTGAGCTAAACAAAACTTTCCTTCCTTAATTTTGGGTGTCAGGTATTTTGTCCCAGGAACGAGAGAAAAGTAACAGAGACAAGAGCCTCGTAGGCAAGATGGAGGCCAGACAGGCTGTCTCATAGGGCTGTCGTCCAGGTATGCGGGCTGTGAAGGAGCACAGTGCCTCGCTTGGGTGCTGAGTAAAGCAGAGCTCTGATTTGTCGTGAACAGCTGGGGCACTGCTAAAAGCAGCAGGGGGTAGAGAATCAGGCATCTCAGTGGATTTTGGAATTTTGCTAACAGTCTCCTATAAGAAGCCTGACACGTGTGCCAGCCCTGCCCCAGGGTGCACTGAGCCAGCCACCAGGACTGGGCATGGAGTTGCACACCTATAATCCTAATGCTGGGAAGGCTGAAAGGATCACTATGAATCGGAGCTAGGTAGCACCTGTACCAAAAAAAAAAAGCCCAAGCCAGCCTGGGCAGCACGGTGAGTCCTGGTCTGGCAATCCACAGGGCTGCGGTCCCGCGCAGGATGGAGTGCTTGCTTGCCTGCATGCATGGGTCCCTGCTGTGGAGCCCAGCAACACAAATACAGCAGCACTACTAGTTTCTGATAAAAATTGGCTTCTGTTTTCTCACTTGCGATCTAAGGGTCTGGATTAGGCCCTGGAATTTCAGTCCGGGAGGAGGGGTGCAGGAAGGGGCTTCTCAGCAGGTCTTCCACCTGCAGAGCAGCCAGGGGTTTGTTTATTTGGTGTGGGGGCGCCTAAGTAGCCTCTCATTCAAAGAAGATGTTTCTAGAAAAATGTGCGTCCACACCCACCCTCTGAGAAGAATGACCTAAAACTCCCTCAGGTTCTCCTCATCTAAATTTCTTTCAGTCCCCTAGTCTGCAGCAGGACGTGCTTGCCCAGCCCACTTCCCTGGCTGTTGACTTACTGATTGATTTGTCCCTTTGAGGGCTGAGCTGCTGTCCTGTGAGGAGCGGTCCGCCACGCAGCTCGCCTTCTCCCTTGTGTCCCCTACCTCCCCGGTGGGTCTCCTCCTGCCCAAGGAAGCCCTCTTCCTACTTCCTGTTACTGTCTTCTGTTCCGCTCCTTATTTATACTCTGGGCTTTTCATAAAAGAAACCGTGATACTTAAGCTCGTGTGTCTGATTTATTCCCTTAACATCCTGGCCTCAGGCTGCCTCCTTTGTCTGTGAGCGACTCAACATGGTCTTGTTTATGGCAGCTCAGAACAATGGATTTTAGTTTTTATTTTTAAATCTTTTTATCTGAAAAAAATTTAAAGCAGCTTGTTAGCGCATGCGCGTGATGGACACTCGTGGGCGCAGTGACACACGGATTGCGCCTGACTTCTGCCCTTCCGCTTCCCTCCTGCCCTCCCATCCCCCCACTGCCCTTCCCTGGAGCTGTCTGCCCGCTGCGCCTGGGGCGGGGGGCGCTTCATAGGCAGAAGCAGTGCATTCCACTCAAATGACGATTTTCATCTTCCCTTACTATGCCTTCTGCCTATGTAATGTTAGTTCTTTCAGTGCTCAGCACTTGCTGATGGCTTTCGAGTCCATCTCCTCGCTCAGAGGCTCTGTGTGCTTCCATTCATTTAACTGCATTCTGGTGGCTGTCTACATCCAAATGTCCCAAGGTGCTCTAGGCTGTGCGTCCACGGATGAGTGGTAAACAAAGGATGGTCTGCCCAGGCAGCAGAATATTGCGCAGCACTGAAAAGGAATGAAATACTAATACGTGGAACAATATGGATGAATCTCAGAATAATGATTCTGTGGGGGGGGGAAGGCCAGACAGAAAGACAGCATATTGTATGCTTCCACTTTTATGAAATTATAGGAGATATGGCTTGATAATGACAGAAAGCAGATCAATGATTGCTAAGGAAGGGGCAGGGAAAAGGAAGGGGAGGGCTACAAGGAGGTAAGGCGAGGTATTTGTGGGATTGGATATCTGTATTGGATTATTTGGTTTATTATCTATCAGATACACCTGAGTAGAGTCCCCTGGTGGCTGCACCATGACCCGCAGGAACACTGAGTCTGATGTGAGGTGACATTTGCCCCCGTCACACGGTGGTGAGGTGGCGCTGTGATGTCGCTGTCCCTACAATATATGCCCTGCTTTGAGCGCTTACAGCTGACCTCCTTCTCAACAGCCTCGTCCTCCTGCCCGCCCCCATGTCCGGCCGCCCATGCACCTGTGCTCTGTGGGTCTCTGTCAGCCGCCAGTGTGGAGCTGTCCATCTGCGAGGGCACCCGCCCCCACCCAGCGCTGTGGGATCGGCCCCTGCGCCGCGTGTCCTTTCTTCCGCGGTGCTCAGGTCACCCTCCCTGGGTTCAGGACTCTGCGCATACGCCAGCTACTCGCTAAAGACCCACCTCTAACACTAGAGTACGTTGTCCCCGCAAAGCCCAAAGCGTCACCGTCTCACCCTCACAGAACTCCAGATCAACAGCAGCTTTTCTTCTCTCAGCTGCAGGTCAGCATCTGCAGTAGCAAATGACAGACTCAACAGGAGGCGTCTCCTCTCTCTTACCCCTGACACTGTGCAGGATTAGTCATTCCTTCCGCAGAACCGTTCATGTATTCAGAGAACCACGCGGAGGGCCCTGTCCCTGCCCCAGACGGGATGGAAGTCCTGCAGGATGTGCCCTGGGTTAGGGTAGAAGTTAGGGGTGACGCTCTCTATGTGGGTGAGCATGTAAAAGCAGCAGGATGGAGCAGAGGACCTTGTGGAGGGGTGGGCGACAGTCGCTGGGGCTCACTTGGGTGGGGACAGCACCATGTAATCCTGGCAGAACTGGCCGGGAGTGCTGCTCACAGTCAGGCTCAGAAGTACCAGGAGGAGGAGGGCAGGAGGCCAAGCCAGCGCTGGTGGGGCGGACGAAGAAAGCGATGCAGGACGAAGTTGGAGGCACCGTGGGGCTAGGAAATGCCCGACTCCTCAGAAGGCTGGTGAGGACGTCTGCAGGAATTCTGCAGGAATATTTTTCCTTTTTTTTCTTTTCTTTTCTGTACCGGGGATTGAGCTTAGGACCTTGCGCTTGCCAGACAAGCACTTATTCTACTGAACTATCTCCCTGGCCTGGGATCTCGGAACAAAAGTGACTCGGATTCCACAGACTTGTGCTGGTGGGTGAGGGGGGTCATGTGGGTGCTCCCGCATGTGATCCTGGGGCTTCCAGTGGCCCAGGTGTGAGGCTGCAGCCTAGTGGTGACAGCGAGGACGGTCCTTTGTGATAGTCACTGTGAGCAGAAGAGAAGCAAGCGAGGAAGCTGCAGGCTCCTGGGCGGGGCGACGGGATGGTGGCTTCACCTCCTGAGATTGGGGCTGAGGGGTGGCGTGGGCTGTGCCTAGCCATGTTGGGTTGGAGACATTGCCGGCCGCCAGGACCAGGGGTGGTGACCTGCAGGGAATGAAGACTTGGAGCTTGCAGGCAGCTCCACAGTGCCGGCACCACCCTGGAGTACACCACACTTGTGAGAAATGCACGACAGTACAATAGAATGAAGAAAGTTCTCCGAGTTTGATCAGAGGGAGGAGACTTGAAGATTCTTCTGGAGTGAAAGTACATACTTCCAACAGCAAATGGGGGGCCAGCGAGATAGCTCAGCGGTGTGCCTGCCTGGCAAGTGTAAGGTCTGGAGTTCAATCCTCAGTACAAAAAAAAAGAAAAAAGAAAAAAAGAATGAACTTCATTCATCTGTGATGAAAATGTCTGACCTCTGCTTGTTTCTCTCAATAGCATTTTCTTCCCCTGGCGAATCTGGACTGTTCCCCAAATGTGGTGACTTTCCTTTGCCAAGCATTTATACCAAGCTGCACAGAGCAAGTTCGTGTGGTCCCACCCTGCCGTAAGTTCTGCGAGAGAGTGTTTTCCGATTGCAAAAGCATCATTGACACCTTCGGGATCAGATGGCCCGAGGAACTTGAGTGTGACAGGTGAGTGATGCTGTCCCTGAGCTGTGCATGGTGTGCTGGTGACGGGCTCCCACTCTGTAGTCCCCCAGGCAGAGTGAGTGCTGCAGTTGGAAGGATCCCCTGGAGAGAGGGGACCAAGGACAGCCTGCAGTGGGGATGAGCTGAAAATGTGGGGCAGACAGCCGGAGTGTCCAGGCAGTTGGCCTGTGACTGGCCCAGGGGGAGGCAGCTGGAAGGAGCAGGCAGAAGGAAAAAACCAACTCCCGGAAGAACCAGGACCAGGAACGGTGGCAAGGTGGAGACTGGAGGGGGAGGGCGGGGCGGTGCTCCAAGGGAAGCCAGGTCCCTGGGGTGGAGCCTGCGTGTGGAGAGAAGAGGGAGCCTGGGAAAGGTGCTGGTACTGCCTGAAGTCATGCATCTGAGTGTGCCCAGAGGTTTGTGTGCCCTGCAAGACCTTGTCCAGCCAGGTGCTTGGGGCAGACTCAGAGCAAGCAGATGCTTGGGTTTGTCTGGGGTTGTGACAGACCTCCTGGTACAGAGCACAAACAGTGGGACCCAGGGGAGGCCGTAGTGATGGCCCAGGGACATCCGAGTGCAAGGGCTGCAGGCTGGAGCAGGGCAGGTGGAGCTGGTGAGGCCTTCAGGCAGGGTGGATGGATGACTTGTGCCTGCCAGCTGCAGGAACCGAGGTGCAGAAGTGGGGCAGAGCTAGGGACATGGGTGCACCCGTGGACCGGGGCAGGATTCCTCGTGTCACTGGGACTGCAGGTGGCCAAGGAGACTGGGAAGGTCATCTGACACAGGACATTAAGGAGAGAGGAAGCCAGAATGGCCGTGCGCTGTGCATGTGGACGGCAAATCGCCAAAGACGGCGAGGGCACAGCGGGGAGGTGAGAAGACTGGGCGCTGGCTGAACAGACTTCGCTGCCCTTACCCCCCGCTGCGTGGTCCTGAGCCTTAAGGATGCGGTGGGTGGGTGGGCAGGCGGGCAGGGGCCCTTCTGGGATCTCACCTGGCAGCGGGGAGGGGGAAGCCGACAAGGCCCTTTCTGTTCCAGGAAGGTGTGGCCTGCGGCCTGGCTGCCTGCTACGGGGTCGCCCACTCCACCGCAGAGTGGGCGAGGTACCTGCTCTTTGTTGTTTGACATTGTTGAAGAGATGACAGTTGTTAAAATAACTAAACCACATTGAGTTTATTTCATGTCAGAGAATGCTTGATACGTGAAATTGATAAGTAGAATCTCCATTTAAAAAATTGCGTTCCCCTTATGTTAAACCGCACCCAGGAGTAGGAAGCAGGGCCATTTCATGCTTTCATAAAATGAGCATCGGGTCACAGGCACGCAGGCCAGTTCTGGCATAGCTGTACAGGAGATCTTATTTTTCTTCAGTTCTGTAAGTTAACCTTCAGTCTCTTACTTTGAAAACGTGAAGAAAAATAAAGGGAATTTCTGATTAAACCCAAGTTTAGGAAAGTGACATATTACTTTTTAATAAAGTAGATAAATACACAAATATTGCTTTCAGGGGCATTTATTTTATTATTCTCCGTTATTATCTAAGTATAGTTAAAGTGGTTTCTCATTCAAACTCAGGCTATTCTTTTTTTTTACCATTTATTTATCTATTTAGTGTGTGTGTGTGTGTGTGTGTGTGTGTGTGTGTGTGTGTGTCCAGCTCAGCCCACTGGGGGGCAGAGCTGGCTGGCATGTGGTGCTGGGGGATCGAACCGCGGTCCCTGTGCTTTGCCAAGCTTGTTCCAAGTAGGTGCTTTAGACCACTGAGCCATCTCACCAGCCCCACAAACTCAGGCTATTCTTTAAGCTATACGGAATCTTCCAAATAACAGCAGTGCAAACAGGCTTGGCCGCTGGTCAGGTTCTGCACTTATGGGAAAAGTCTCCACGCCCACACGTGAGGGGTGTGAAACCTCCCAGCAGAATGGGGACAGAGGCGACAGGTCTGGGCCTACTGCTTGGGGCCCTCTTGGCCTTGCTTGGGAGCTCGCACCTGACCTTGTGCATCCGAGGGAGGATCTCATTTCTGCCCTTTCATGTGTCCCAGCTTCACCATGTGGTGTGCTTGGTTTGCTGGGGGGCCGGGGGTGTGGCTGAGTGCTGGTGGTCACCTGGTGCGCACACAGCCCTTCATTCAATGCCCAGCACTGAAAGAGAAGGAAGGAAAGTGAATTTCTCCAAATGTAAGCTTCCTGTGCTCTAAGTAGCCAAGCCAGTTCTTTTTGTCTATTTAGGTAAATTCTCTCTTAAATAGTCTTAAAAGCAGAAATTATTTGAAAAGTGTTTGGCTATTGCCTGCCTTGTGCTTAGCACAGGACTAGTGCGTTGAGGCCTCACGACTCAACACAAGTTTTTAAGTCAATTCAAACCTTCTACCACCCCAACCTGTGATGTATTTAGGTTTGTGTATCTTCCCGTTAGTTTTGGATGTCCAAGGTGATATTTTATAGTTGGGAAACATATCACAGCAAGTCACCATGAAAGTGGTGATGTCACAGAGTCCATCTTTGTCATTCCAGGTTGCAGTACTGTAACGAGACTGTTCCTGCAGCTCATGGTCCACATGGAGGACCTCTTGGTCCTGAGAAGAAAACAGAACAAGTCCAAAGAGACATCGGATTGTGGTGCCCGAGGCATCTCAGGACTTCTGGGGGACAAGGCTATCAGTTTCTGGGGATTGACAAGTGTGCACCTCCGTGCCCCAACATGTATTTCAAAAGTGATGAGTTAGAATTTGCAAAAAGTTTTATTGGAATAGTTTCGATATTTTGCCTTTGTGCGACTCTGTTCACATTTCTCACCTTTTTAATTGATGTGAGGAGATTCCGGTATCCAGAGAGGCCGATCATCTATTACTCCGTCTGCTACAGCATCGTGTCTCTCATGTACTTCATTGGATTTCTGCTCGGGAATAGCACAGCCTGCAACAGGGCCGAGGAGAAGCCGGGGCTTGGGGACACCGTTGTCCTGGGCTCCCAGAACAAGGCCTGCTCCGTTTTGTTCATGTTTCTGTATTTTTTCACCATGGCTGGCACCGTGTGGTGGGTGATTCTGACCATCACTTGGTTCCTCGCTGCGGGCCGGAAGTGGAGTTGCGAGGCCATCGAGCAGAAAGCAGTGTGGTTCCACGCGGTGGCCTGGGGAACCCCAGGCTTCCTGACTGTGATGCTCCTGGCCATGAACAAAGTGGAAGGAGACAACATCAGTGGCGTGTGCTTCGTCGGCCTCTACGACCTGGCCGCCTCGCGCTACTTTGTGCTGCTGCCACTGTGCCTGTGTGTGTTTGTGGGGCTGTCCCTGCTCTTGGCTGGCATTGTGTCCTTAAACCATGTACGACAAGTCATCCAGCACGATGGCCGCAACCAGGAGAAGTTGAAAAAGTTCATGATCCGCATCGGGGTCTTTAGTGGACTATACCTGGTGCCATTGGTGACGCTGCTGGGGTGTTACGTCTATGAGCAGGTGAACAGGGTGACCTGGGAGATCACGTGGGTCTCGGACCACTGTCGCCAGTACCACATCCCGTGTCCTTACCAGGTACGAGCCAAATTGCATCACTGTCCATAGTGCAGAGAATGTGCCAGAAAGCGTGCTTGTGTGGTCATGGATGTAAAGCTAGATTTCAGGTGGTAAAATCCGACAGTGCAGGGAACAGTTCCTGTGCGTCAGCTGAAATGCAGGTCGGCGTCCAGAGAGAGCTCTCTGAAGGTGCAGCGTCTGCGCAATCGGAACGTGCCCCTTCATTCCTTAAAACATTCAGCTGGGTGCAAAAGGCAGACTGACAATGAGTAGTCAGAACAGGCCCAGGCCTGTGGGAGGGGAAGAGAAGCTGGGGACACCCTTACCTGGGGATGTGGGTCACGTTACCTCACACCTTTCTGCGGAGGACAGACCTTCCTCGTTTAACCACCTTCCCATTTAGTGGCAGTTCAGGTCTACGTCTGAGGCGAGCCGTGCAAGTTGCAGCCTGCCGTTGCATTTGCAAGCCTCCTTTTGCTGTGCGGTTCTGCGCATCTTGTTTGTGCAGCCTCCCTGTGACTTTTTTGTACCGTGCACATTGTTTATCTAGGACTGTAATTTTTGCACATAGTACCCTATAGTACTGTAGTCCTGCGTTCTGTCATACATCACAGTACTGCATGTAAGAGTTCTGCAGATAAAAGCGAAGCCATCAGGTGGAGTTTCCTTTGATCATTTGTTTGTTCTGAATGTTACAGTATGAATATCATATACATATAGTAACCATTTAGCAACCTAGTTGCAGGAATGACCCTTGGTCATTAAACAGAGTGTCTATACATACTTATCCATTATGTCATTTAAGTGAAAAAAAAAAAAAGACAATTGAAGGAAAATATGTTTTATGTGTTTTTTGTTTTTGCAGTACCAGGGATTGAACTCAGGCCCTTGTGCTTGCCAGGCAAGTGCTTATTCTACTGAGCCATCTCCCTGGCCCTGTTTTATGTGTTTCTAATGGTTGTGATTAGTATAAGGGTAGTTAGTGCTTTTTAAGATTTTAAAAAGTGTTCTGAAAAGAATAAAGTTTATTAATATTTTAGTTGATATTTTCAATGGAAAATTTTGGGGCTGGGGAGATAGCTCAGTAGAATAATCGCTTCCCTGGCAAGCACAAGGGCCTGAGTTCAATCCCTGGTTCTGCCAAGAAAAAAAAGAAGGAGAAAAAGAAAATTTGAAAAAGAATCTTACACATCATTCTTCCATATTAATGGAAGATACTGAACACAAGGACTGTCCTCAAAGTATCAAATTAAAAATTATTTTACATAATATCAAGATAGTTAATTGTCATATAGCTTTCAAGTTGGCAGTCACCTAAATATCTTTAAAAAGGGGCAGTTGGCAATGAGAAGAAAGATTTGTGCGAATATTGTTCAGACAAGAGATCATGTCTGCATCTTATACTGTGGGCATTTTTTTTCTTATATTACATATTTTTATTGTCAAATCTGTAGCTCAGATTATCATATATAGGTATACAAGATTGGTCAAATCATTAAACATTAGCTCTTCCTGTCAATAAATCTTAATTTTTCATTGTCCTTTTTACTTTTCATTGTTTATTTTAGGGCATTTTCTTTTTTCTTTTTCTTTTCTTTTCTTTTTTTTTTTTGGCAGAACCTGGGATAAAACTCAGGCCCTTGCACTTGCCAGGAAAGCGCTTATTCTACTGAGCCATCTCCCTGGCTGCATCTTGTACTGTGAATAACTACTACAAAGGCAACAATATATAATGCATTAATTATTGTAACTGTCCTACTAACCTCTTTGGAAACTGTCTCATTGCTATTTCTTTCTCATTAAAATTAGTAATTTTTTTTTTTTAAAGGGATAGTTGGGGCTGGGGAGATACTCAGTGGCATAGTGCTTGTCTGGCAAGTGTGAGGTCCTGAATTCGATCCCCAGTACAATAAATAAATAAATAAATAAATAAATAAATAAATAGACAAAGGGGCCGGTGAGATAGCTCAGCAGACTAAAGCACCTGCTCAGGCAAGCTTAGGCAAGTGCAGGGATCCTGCTGTGCCAGCCCCGCCCCCAGGGCAGGCTGAGCAGCCACAGAGCCCAAGCGTAGTGACACACACCTGTGATTCAGAGCTGGGGCGGCTGAAAGCAGGAGGATCACCATGAGTCCCAGCTGCATAGTGAGACCCTGCAACCACCAGATACAATTAAAAATAAAAAAAGGGGGGAAAAAGGGGGTAGTTGAATACCCGTCCATATAGTGGAACAGGCTGAAGGAAGGGGATTATTTGTACTGACGTAGTCCCCAAGAAGTGTTAGCAAATCCAAAAAGCAAAAAGAATGTAGAAGCATACTATTTCCATACTCGCAATATTTTACTTTTTTTTTTTTTGCGGAACGGGGAATTGAACTCAGGCCCTTGTGCTTGCCAGTTAAGCGCTTATTCCATTGAGCCATCTCCCCAGCCCCTCACAATATTTTAAAATAGCATTTGAAAACTTACGCTTGGAATAAAAGTATGATTTTAACTTTTATGAAATTTCTGCATCTTTCACATTTTACTGGTACATATTTTATTTTGGCCACACAAGTTTGTATTGCGTAGCCATGCATATGTAGAATATAAGTTGTTCTAATAAGCTTATTTTTTTGTGGCCGGTTATGGTGAAGGATAATAGTTAATTATTTAGAGCAAATGTATAGCAATTATTATTATTGGTAGTAGTCTTTTTGAGATAGGGTCTATGTAGTTCAGGCTGGCCTTGAGCTCACTTTCGAGCCCTTCCTGGTCTTAAACTCACAATGATCCTCCTGCTTCAGCCTCCTAAATTCTGGGATTACAGGTATGTGCCACCATGCCCAGCTATGTAGCTACTGTAAGAGGCTGCTGTACCTACAGGAAAAAAGGCCAGGAAGTCATGGCAAGATTTAGATTTGGCAAAATATGTAAAAAAGTACTAAATACATTTTAATATTTTCCCTCTTTGGGATATCTATTTTGATATGCATCAAAAGGTTATTTGTGCAGAACATAGTTTAGAAGTTATTGCACTTAAATATTGTGCATTATATTATGCATTTCAAACCTTTTATAATAAATACAAGATTTATAAATTTTGTTCAAGTTTCATTTCACCATTTTAAATGTATCACTTTTTTTCTGTAGGTAAAAACCACAGCCCGCCCAGAACTTGCGTTATTCATGATAAAATACCTGATGACGCTGATTGTTGGGATCTCCGCTGTATTCTGGGTCGGAAGCAAAAAGACCTGCACCGAGTGGGCTGGGTTTTTTAAACGAAATCGCAAGAGAGAGTAAGAACCTAATGAGTTTTCTGACATTGTTTGAAAATGAACAGGTCAAAATACCAAAACCTTTACCTACGACAGTAAAAAATGTCCACCTTAACTTTAGAAAGAAAAGAGTTAAATTTAAAGCAAGACCATTAATTCTATTCATTGTCCTTTGTCTTCTGGTTGACATTCCTGTTTGATGTACTTAAATATGATACAAGCACAGTCAGTGCCTTACTGGACTCTGGTTTGACCTTTCTTTCTCCCTCTTTTTTGTCTATTTAAGTTTTTACCAGCTTCCAGTCTCTTCTGATGGAAGCAAAAAGTGTCAGCGAAAGCCCAGGTTTTGCTGGGTGTATGTCCGCTTATCCCACAGCGCTGGCAGTGCCAGGTGTCCGAGTCGCGCCTGTCGGGCGGGACAGTGCTGCACAGGGCGCTGACCGCCTCTCTCCCTCTCCCACAGCCCCATCAGCGAGAGCCGCCGCGTGCTGCAGGAGTCGTGCGAGTTCTTTCTGAAGCACAACTCGAAAGTGAAGCACAAGAAGAAGCACCACAAGCCAGGCTCGCATAAGCTGAAGGTCATCTCCAAGTCCATGGGGACCAGCACTGGGGCCACAGTGTACCACGGCACCTCTGCCGTGGCCATCGCGGACCACGACTACCTAGGACAGGAGACCGCCACGGAAATCCCAACCTCCCCGGAGGCGTCAGTGAGAGAGACAGCCACAGCTAGGGAGCAGGACCTTGGGGAGCCCGTGTCCCCCACAGCCAGCTCTAGACTCTGTGGGGACACGGGTGGCAGGAAAAGCCAGGCCAACAGTGTGCAGGACAGGGCCAGTGTCTCTGACAGTGCCCGGAGTGAAGGCAGGTAAGGACTGATTTTGTTACTGTAGATCATCCTGATTTTGAAAACTACATTTTTAATTTAATTTTAGTTACTTTATTGGTCCCTGCTTGCAGGACTGCGCCATGGGGTACGCACATCTTCATTCTCTCCTTCACCTCCCTCCCTCTCTTGGTGCCTTTCCTTTTGCGAAGGATCTGTCTCTTTTTTATTTTGCCCTTTAAATTATCTGTACTTTGGGTTTCTCCTAGAAGAGAATCCCAGCGATATTTAAGCTTGTGAGTCTGTTGTCCCCCTTGCCCTGAGGGTCTTACACCTCTGGAGGGCAAGCATTTGAGGACTGCCCGCCTGGTTCTAAGTCAGGAAGCCCGGGCTCAGCCTCCAACATTTTACTTCTTGAGCCTGGCTCTTCAAGGGCCCTGGCGTGGCTGTTTCTATGGTAACTGTTGACACACTTAGCTAAGTATTTCTGCTTCATCTGAAGTCCAGGCTCAGTCTTCATCAGCGCTGGAGTAGAGCTCTGTCTAAAGGTGTTTGGTTGCGAAGTGCTTTCTGTTTTCTGCACACCAAAGGACGCTGACCTCTTTAACAAACTTTCCACACGTGATCGAAGCATGGGGGATGACCCACCCCGACAGCTGAGTTGTCCAAACAGGGTCACAGCACTTCTTATTCTCTCAGGACAGCTTTGTTTGTTTCAGGGAGGGGCTTGTTTTGTTTTGTGGCTTTTTTTTTCTTTCAGTATTGGGATTGAACCAAGTATCTTCACAATGAGCTATTTTGACACAGGCTCTCACTAAGTCACTAAGTTACCAGGTTGGGTTCCAACTTGAGACTCTCCTGCCTCAGCTTCCCAGCATGCTGGATCTGTGCGCCACCACACCCAGTTCCAAGAGTCTTTGTGGACCCGGATGTGATCAGAGAGACGCTTTATCCCCCACTAGACATGCAGAGTCCTCCATCTCTGTTCCCAGCCACCCTTTTAAATCTTTCATTTATTCATTTACTTGGTATAGGGTCTCGCTATACAGCTCAGACTCATAGTGGTCCTCCTGTCTCAGCCTCTCCAGCAGGTGTGCTCTACCATGCACGCTTTTGGTGGCTGGCTGGGAGTAGGGCCCACACCTGGTACCAGGGATTGAACCCAGGTCCTTCTGCTTGCCAGGTGGGTGCTTAGACCACCGACCTATCTCCCCAGTCCTGTTCCTAGCCTCTTGCTTGGTGTCTTGTCTGTGGTGAGGAATCCATAAGCGGATTTGCTCAGCTGCAGGCAGAACCCTCTGGCCTTCCTAACTGTGAGTGGGGGGAGACACGAGAGCCCGCCAGTGTGTGTGGCAGCACTTGATGCCGTTTGCAAAGTCAGCAAACACTGTGTTTGAAGACAGTCACCTGTAGTATTCTTAAGTGTTAGAATTCTCCAGAGAGGGTTCAGGGTATCATCCTTGGGGAAGGTTGGGGTCCATGGGGCTGACACTTGGGACAAGCGAGCAGCAGCCACAGGACATCTGATGGTTTGTGTTCTTCTCCTCCTAGGCTGAGTCCGAAGAGTAACACTGCAGATGTGGGCCCAGGGCAGGGTGTGGTCACACAGGGCCCTGCGGTGCCCCTCAGCCAAGTGACATCCGTAGCTGGGCAAGGGCAGGGGCCGGTGTCACCTGGACCCCCCAGCATCCCTGAGGACGTTGTGGGCCCTGCACCCTAGAGAAGCCCTGGGGTCTTCTTCCTTGCTTTGACCATGGCATCAACAACTGGGGAAAAGAATGGATTTCAAGAATAATATACTTACAGCTGGGTATGGTGGTGCACTCCTGTAATCCTCAGGAAGCTGAAGCAGGAGGATCATGGCAAATTCAAGACCAGCCTGAGCTATAAAGTGAGCTCAAATCCAGTCTGAACTACATAGCAAGACCTTGTCTCAGAAAAGAAAAAAAATGTTATGACATATTTCATTTCCACAAAGGTTTCTGACAGCAGTATTCCTGAAAACAGAAATGTACAGGTTAACAACTTTTAAGTTGTGTGTGAGGAGAGTTACTGGAATCTTTATCTTCTTCTGAAGATTCTACTTGCATTAGAAGCATTTTAAGATGAATTTTGCTATTTCAGTTTTTTGATATCAAGGCAAGATTTTTCTTTGCTGAAGTATTTAAAACTTATCCATGTACTTTTTTATATGTATTTGAAAATAAGCTTATATGTATTTGGATATTTTGGAAATACTGCAAAATTGATTTGTATATTTTTATTATCATATTTTAGCACTACTTTGGTAGCATTTACACTGAATTTCTAAAAAGACTAGAATATAGTGTTCTTTTATAGTATAAAATGTAGTTGACATACCAAACGGTATTCAACCTTACAGAACCATTTCTACCTTACTGGGCGGAAATTTGATTACTTCTCGCTGTCTTAGGAATTCCGTGCCTATTTCTCATGCCACTGAAGTAAGGTGCTTGCCGAGAGGGCGCCGTGCTGTGCTGCTCCCAGCCCTCCTGCAGTTCTGAAATACAAGATCCTGAAGGATTAGCAGAGGAAACTGATTCTTTTACAAACTAAGCCAGGTGCAATTGGTTTCCTTTTCTTGTGTTTCCTGCATTACGGCAGTTTACAGTTGCTTAGACTTCTCCTTTGTCTTAAATTCTTTAAAAAAATGGTTAGGACACAAGAACACTATATGGTGTAGCATTATGCTCGGATGCTATGCAAAATTCATCTTTGCAACAAAGTAGCTGAGGGGACCGAAGTATCTCAGTAATATCAGCGCCAGTCCGGTGGGGAAAATATTGTCCTGAGCAACAAAATGTTCTGAACGCTTGCTTCCAGATATTGAGGGCTTCTCACGGTTTTGGTTGTTGAACAGTTTTCTGATACTTTTGATACATATAGCATACTGGTAAAGCACAGAAAGAAAATCGTCCTGTACTGTATGGAACATGTTGTAAATATTAACTTTTCCACATTTGTAAACAGGTGACTTTGTACACAAGAATCTTGTTTTGAGCGATCTTTTTATTAATAAAATTTTCTTTATATAAGCAAGTGTAAAGTATTCTGTGTTCAGCGGTACTATCCTGACCCAGGAAGTAGGAGCCGGTAAAACCTTGGATTGCAAATCACTTGTCCCCTGAGCGTTCCGCAAGATGACCGAGCACGCCTGGCAAGTTTCAACTCGACAGACAAGCAGCATCTTGCAGTCTGAGAGAATGTGATCCTGAATCTCAGCTGATGCAATAGTTCTCTCTCTGGCTTCAGCATGGTGTGTGTACCGTACCACTTTGCTGCAAAATCTTGGAGTGCGACTGGCAGATTCCTTATTAACGATGCAGAAAAAGGCTGGGGGATAACTCAGACCCACCTGGCAAGCACTTGAGTTCAATTACCAGATCTGCATGCTGTGCCGGCCCTGAGACCTCAGACGCTCTGTGTACCATGCTGGCCCGGGAACTGGGTGTGGTGGCGCACACTTGTAATCCCAACACTGGGGAAGTTGAGACGGGAGGATCTGTCTCAGAGACCAGCCTGGGGACTACAAAAGTGAACACAAGGCCAGCCTCGACTGTATAGCAAGACCCTGTCTCAAAAAGACAAAACACACACACACACACACACACACACACACACACACACGAAAACAATTCCACTGAGTCAGTATATAGCAGTGATTCTGTTAGTGACAGTAACATTGATCCACACAATAACCAGAGGGTTATTGTTTGCCCTCATGCCAGCCATGAAGATTTTCAAAGCTAAGTGCAGGTTAATTTGTTTATTTTCTTTACATTTTGAATTTTCTTTATTACTTAGTATTATGTTACATCACTGTATCATTTTTATATGAATAGCTTTGCACTGTAGGGTGAATCGCCTGGGGAATTTCCAGTATTTCTTCTGGGAGATTAATTCACTCTGAATTACAAATGCTTTGGATTACAAGCATGTTTGCAGAATGAAGTATGCTTGCAAACCAAGCTTTTACTGTAATTTTTTAGTTGAGGTTTATTTTATTTTATTTAGTTTTTTGTTTATTTTATTTTATTCAGAAACAACAATGAGACAGTTTCAAAACTGATTAATAGGACAGTTTAAATAATTAATACATTGTA